GAGATGGTGAGATTTGAACAGCCGAACTGCAGTCAGCTGAAGTAGCCTGCAGTGCTGCATTTAACCACTGCGCCACCTCACTTAGGTGTTTTCAGAGCTTCTAGATTCTTATGATCTGTCAAAACCTTGAAAGGGGCTTTACTACCTTCTAAAAAAAAGTGTCCATGTGAGGAGAGCCCATAGTACAGTGTATACTTCTTTTTCCCAGACCGTCCACCTCCGCTCAGTCTCAGATAGCTTTCTAGAGGTGTAAGCACACAGCTGCAGGATCCCTGGCTTGTTTTTCTGGAGTAGGACATCCCCGACTGCCACATCATTAGTGCCGGCTTGAATGATAAATAGGACATTTGGGTCTGGGTGCTTCAGCACAGGTTCGGCTGTGAACAGTCATTTAAGTTTTTTGTATGCCACTTGGCATTCCATTGTCCATTTGAAAGGTTGGCTCAGTTTGGGTTTCTCCTCTCACTTGGTCTTTAAAAGGTTAATAATAGGTAGCGCTATTTGAAAAAAATGACAGGATGAATTGTCAATAAAAGTTACAAACCCCAGGAAGCTTTGGAGTTGCTTCCGGGTGCACAGGGTCCACAATTCTAGCATGGCTCACAACTTCTTGGGATCTATCGCAATCTCTTCATGGGAAATCCAGTAGCCCAAATAGTCTTTTCCTTGTGGAATTTGCACTTAAGAGAGGTTTGCCACTCAGTTAGAGTGGCACAGAGTTTTTTTCACTAGTTTCATGTGTTCCTCTAGGGTTTCAGTGTAGATTAAAATATTGTCTAGATAAACTAGGATCACTTTGTATTTATCATGCAGGACCTCATTAATCAATTGCATGAAAACTGTGGGTGCCCCCCGTAGCCCAAAGGGTAGTATGCAGCACTAGAAACATCCCAGCAGGCAATTGAAGGCTGTTTTTCATTCATCTATCTCCTTGATGTGTACAGTAGTATGTCTCTCTTAAGTCTAATTTGGTGAAAACCCTTCCCTTGGCTAGATAGACAAGTATGTCTTTCAGCAGTAGAAACATGTAGAAGTTTTCAATCCAGATGGCATTTAGCCTACAGTAATCCATGCATAGGCAGAAACATTTTTTTCTCCCAAAACAGTACATGTGCTGCCATATGTTACTTTACCGCTTGAATGAAACCCTGCGGAAGGTTCTTGTCTATGAAGGCTCAGAGTCCATTTAATTGTCTTGGAGTCATAGCGTACAATTTCAGCTTAGGCAGTTTGGCCTCGGATACTATTTCTATGGAGCAATCTGTGGAGTGATGAGGGTGAAGTCTATCCAAGTCCCTTTCACTGAAAACTTCCTGTAAGTCCTGGAGCACTACTGAAGCTCCTTCCCCTTTTGTTTTCTTAATGGGTGGCGCATGGAGCTCCAAGGTCAACTTTTCTTTCAGTCCTCATCCGGTCTCTGCCTGATTTTGAATATTCACCTCCTCCAATTTACAGAGGGGTTTCACTTTAATAGCTATGTTAAGTCCAGCACTATGAGTCTGTACATACTTGACGCTACTATGAAACTAAGTTTTTCATGGGGCCCCATCTTCCTCTCTACAGATTCTATAACAAATGTCGTGGGGGGCACCCCTGTACTGAGCCATCTAAATGAAAAAATGTCACAGGGACCTTTAGTTCCTTGAGTCATATCTCCAGTTTCTCCATTATGTCAGGGCAGACCAGGTACCTGGTGCAGCCTGAGTCAATAATGCAATTCAGTTTTCCTTTCGCCCCAGGAAAGTACACTTAATTCAACTGTGATTGTTACAGGTATGATAGGGTGACTTATCAAGGGCTCATTTGTCCTGCAGTTGCTCTCCATTCCAAGATTGGGAAGCTTGATCAGAGTTGCCTTGCAACTGGGTGAATTCAATGACTTCTACTCCCTTAAGGGGCGGCTTAGTGGCTTCGTGGGATCTTTTGCTTCTGCACTGCATGGGCCTGGACATTGGTCAGGGTGCTTGGCAGTCGGCTGCTCTATGGCACTCCTTGCTGCAGAGAAAGCAGCTGGAGGGTGGCAGCACAGGCTCTATTGTCTCAGGTACCATAAGCGTGCACATGCTTTTGGCACCCAAGGTGAAAAAGGTTTGCCATCACTGATCTAGATCATGGATATCCATAAAGTTGCTAGAAATACTGTTTTCATGAAAACAATATTCATCAAAAAAGTAACATAAATCAGGGCATTTTATGGCTCCCTACTTTAAAATCTTAACAATTAATATGAGATTAAAATTGAATCAGACTATCAATCAAACAGTGCTTATCATTAAACGAAAGGTGGCTTAAGATAAACAAGTATTCTCTGTTCTCATCTTCAAATATCTGCCCAGCTGCTGGGCCTGCTGCACCTGCTGCTTCTGGCCTCGTGGGAATTCTTTGATTTCATGGCCACACTGCTCTCGGCCGCCCTACTGGGCTGCTCCTACCTGGCAAAGGGCAATTTGGCCCAGATCTATGAACTCCAGAGCACCTTGCCCATCATCGATTTCAGGCTGTGCCCCTCTGTCCTGCACAAGCTCCATGGTGACCCTGAAACAGTACAGAAGAGGGAGCGGGAGATTGCCCCTTCCTCCTTTGCACTCTAAAACCCCGTCTGCCCTGGTTGTCAAGCTCCCAGCCTGTACCCCTCTCACTGGAGCAAGACATGCAACTCAATGTTATTGGTATCTCCGAAGGCCTCCCAGTGCAATGCTCTGCCGCAGCTCCAGAGCAAGCCTCCACCTTCCCTGTGAAAGATTGCAAGGCTGGAGACCTCTGCAGCCTCCACCAACCAAACCCCATCCCAGCCAAGCTGGCTCAGCGGGCAGAAAAGACAGGGTTTTGGGGTGCAAAAGGGGCAATCT